GTCTTATCGTCTTTAGCTTTTTCTTAATAAGTCACTTCACATTAGTTTGGTAGTAGAGAAAAGGTTTTCAGAACTGAACCTTTTAACCAAAACTAACCTGAGGAATACATCAGTACTGGTTGTCAATAGTTTAGGAAATAAGAGAAATTTTACTAAATAAAGGATAAGGAGTTTGTTTTAGAAGATGATTGTCAATGTATAATTAAAACATTATCAAGAAAAATATAAATTAAAAAATATTCCAAGTTCTAGTTAAAATTTTAAAACCTTGAATTATATAATACTTTGTTTAACTTCATACTACCATGAGATGTTTCCTGTTTGTTACCCGTTAAATCTTCATTAATCATCATAAGGTCACAAGTGAAGATTTGCAGCAAAACAATTTTTTTTTTAATCCAGCAATCTTTTAGTTTGAATGTTGAGTTTTGGCCACCTCTAAAATCCTTTTTCCACATTGTTGCATTGTTTCCAATGAATGCAACGAATTAAAAAAAAAATCCATCTATCATCCGCTCTAAATACCAATATTACTGTTAACATTGTTCTTCAAAGCGTTTATCTGTTCGTGGAGTTAAAAGAACACTGTTCACATTAGAATTCAAAGGCCTTAACACCCAGTAGAAGAAAAATATTCAGCTTCGATATCTGTTTTAAGTTCTTCCCATGAAACCCTTATTAAACTGTTATTTGATTTTATTTAATCACATATATAATTTTAACTTTATACTTTCAGTTTAAACAACATAATTTCTTGTGATTTCCGATACTGCGTTAACTTATATCGAAAACATACATACAAATACTCCTGTAGATCTACACGTTGTTACATTATCCATCCTGTATTGTAAAAAAACCCCTTGCTAGCCATCTGATATCATTTGCATCATCGTAATGACCACGAACGGATTCAGGATTTAATATTGGACGGCTTCAGCCCGAAAGTTTTTTTTCATATATTTACGTTAAAACGTTAAATATAAGGTGTCTGACGGAGGATAAAGTAGCGGTTCACTTGCCTCAGGGGTGGCAGAATTTATGCGCTGCTCGAACAGATGATTTCAAACAAAAATGTTTTTTTAGGTTAGCTAAAAAAATATCTTTTTATGTTTTTTTTTAAGAATTTGACCTTAATTCCAGCAATAAAATGAGATAGTGTCATTAATTATGATATTTATTTCCAAAATTATTTCCTAAATACTATCATAAAACTCATTATTGAAAAGAGAGAAGTAAAAAAAAATCCTAAGTAAAAATCGATAGATTTTGTTATTGCAAAACATTTCGATTGTTGTACTTAAATGATGGAAAAATCATGGACTGAATAATTGCTTCAGTATAGTTTAGCGGTTACAGGCGGAAAAGGGGATTAACCATTCCATTATATTGTAAAACCTATAGTTATCTACAATATCCAGTGTTGTATATTATATATGTTATATTATAATGAAGAGTATTAAAAGATGGAAGCATAATGCTTAAATAAAAATATTTTATATTCAAATATTTTATATACTGATTTAGAGTATTCATAGACGAGCTATGTTTGTTGTAATCACAAATTAACATGCTTGAATTCTTAATATTTTCAGATTTTAATCCTCAACAACAGTAAAATTATCTAAATTAATGAAAATAATTTCTAAATCTTTTGATAACGTTATAGCACTGTACTGTTAAACAAACAAAGGTAGCCCTAACAAACAGAGCGGAGATGAATGGATCCCTCCTCAGCAACAGTCAACAGTTTTTGTGGCGCCCACATTCCAGGTCCCTTATCTATCTCTCACTTCGCTTCTCTTTTTCTATTCCAACTACTTCTTTTTCTGTCTACGGTCTCAAGATAGAAATAATGGGTACTAGGCTACGGTCCGAACTGTTTTAAAAGTGGAAAAAAGTCATAGTGCATCTACGGGCAATACAATCAATTACCCTGTCCCAGACTATATTTAAAAATTTAACTATACAAGTCAATTAAAACAAACAATAAATAAGATTATGATAAGCAAGTACATACTTAGAGGCACATTAAAAGTGATGAAATTATTATTTACAACTAATTCACAGTTTGGGAGTACAATTAAAAATTGAAACTAAAAAAAAATTAATAAGTGTTTAAAAAAAAAAAAAACTAGGTTCTTTTATTTTCTCTTATTCATTAATTCTTTTAATTAATGCGACATTTACGAAATAGTACTATGATGAAATTTCTAATAAATGCCTTGTATTTATTATCGAGCTTGTATTTATTATTCACCCTTTAATAATAGAAAACATTCTGAAAATAGTGGAAGTCAGTTAATTTTCACTTGTTTCAAGTCTGCATTACAGATCCTTCTTTATCAAATTATAAACATTCGTCGAGAACTTTGTTAACTTTAGCATATCGTACCAATAACTTTTTTATCGAGGTAAATTCTAATAAATTGAAGGATTCTAATTTAATTAATTAATTAAAGAATTAAACTAAATTAATTTAATTTTAGTTAGTAAAAATTCATCATTACTCATTTTCTTTCCACTTGAATCGTAAGATAATTTGATATAAATCGATAAAAAGATCTACAAAAATATAACCTCTTTGTTTTGACATGTTGTGGATGGATTTCACGCCAAATAGCCCAATATTTTGTAGGCCACCCTTTTTTCTCACATTGGTTATCAAATTATCTTATGATTCGAACGCAAATGGTATTCATGAGTATTTAGTGCCTGATTAAACAGGAAAAGTTTGCCGGTCTTCAGATTGAAAACTACCCATTTCACAATTAAGTTGTAGGAAGATATATGCCAGAGTTAAAAGCTCCCCCCGGGCACCGGAACACGAAAGTTATTTTATCTTTTATAACTTCGCTTATCAGGTTGCCGGGGTACGTGCGATGCACACGCGTCAGCATGCTCGGCCACCCCTCCCCTTGGCATATCGCAACTACAGATAATATCCCCTAACAAAATTTAGATTCGTTAAATATTTTTTTGATAATCATTATTAGTGGAAAACATTGACCCTATTATTAGATGTTTTTTTTATATTTTTAAAAAATATTAAAAATTCATTAAGCCTTAAATAAAAATTAAAAGTAAATACTAAAAAGAAAATTGTTCCCTAGCTGGCATGTAAATGTATTTCTGCAAGACATCCGAGTGGAAGGGATATTTTAGGAATTTTAATTTATAAGCTTGACATTCCTTTAATTATTACGTAAGAAAAACTTTGAATGCATTAATTAATAGCAAAGACTAATTATAATACAAAATACTAATATTTTTTGTTCTGAATTAAATGTTACTTTTTGTATGTATTAACAACATGGACCTGTAACTAAAGATTGTTGAACTAAAAACATCTTTGTTTTTAATTATTTCCTGAAATAGTAATTTAGGAACTTTTATAATTTATTTTTAAAAATCGAAACATCAACATATTTTTTGGTTCATCCACCAATCTTTTTTTCATTTTTTTTTTTAATTCAACAAATATGTATTATACTATGACTTTTATATAAAATTCTCTGAAACATATCAAAACCCAAAGACGTGAACTAATAAGGATAATCTTTAAAACCAGGAGAATGTTTGAATGTGGATTAAAAAAGTTAATGTTATTTTTTAAAAAATGAACCTCGTTTACCAATCTAATTCCATTAATTTCTAAAAGGATCTAGGTTCTTGGACGCCAGGAATGGCACCAGAGGTAGTCAAAGAAGAAAAACAGTTAAGAATCAAAATGGGGGTTATTCTACGAAAAATATAAGTTTCATTTTAATAATTAGAATAAACGAACCAGTTCCACTACGGTACATGAAAGGTATTGGATGTTGTACACTTTAGGGAAAGTACTGCTTCTTGGTCAACGGTTGTGCAAGGAAATGATTTGATCGAGATCACGTTCAACCGCCAGGTTTTCAGTCTCAATTAATGATTTAATTAATATTAGCCACTTTATAAAGGCTGGGTGTGTCCCAGGACGGTCTCCCGACCCCAGGAATGATCCATGGCCGATGAAATAGAATAATAATTTATCTGCCATAAGCCAGAATACGAACCTGAGACTTTAAGCATTGGAACAACGGCGTTCTACCACTGAGCTAACGTACACCCTTATAACTTGAACATATGGGTACAAATGTATGAGAAACTACTTATGACAGCCAAAAAAATAATTTTTTTTAGGACATTTTTTCATGTTTTTTCAACGATAACTGCTGCACAGTGCATCCTAGTGGAAAAGTTAATCCATAAGACATTATATTTAAAAATTAAATTTTACGTCAAAATATTACTGTGACTTAACAATTTTGTCAGTGGTGTGGTTGAAAGTCTCGCGTAAAAAATAAACTTTTCACCAACCCTGTCATAATTGAGATATATTTCCATAAATTGCATTTAAGTTGAGAAATGAGCTTTCTAAGTGAAAAAAATCAAGTAATAAAAGTTGTAGTTACACTTTTGTTTTAATGATTTACTAAATTTCATATTATTAACATTATACAATTTAATCAAAGGAACATTCGTTGAATGTTTTGTTACAATTCAAGCTTAAAAAATGGTGATCAAATATTGTACAAATCTATCTGATTGAAGATGTGTCTTCTTATTTTGAGTGCGCTGATCATTCAATTTCCAAAGTTAATAGATCAAATTCTGCAATAAGAGTGTTTTTAAGCCGTTTGAACTCAAAATACTGAAAAAATATATTATGACACCAACCAAGTTTCAATATCCTAAGATGTAAACTTCTCTAACAACCCACTAAAGTGTTCAAGTACTTGAGCAACTATATATCGTCTCTTAGATTAATTTATTACTTTAATTAATTTATTAATATTTTTATTTATTAATCTACCATACCGTGTGAACTGGCTGTAGAAATTTATTTCATTTCGAAATTATACTTCACACAAACAAATCCTCACAATAGTGTTAGAATTAAATATATATAGGTGTGTGCTCAAGATCAAGAAACATGAATATTTAATTATAATAACAAATTGTAATTAATGATTATTGTAAATTTGTTCCAGATCGGGTTGGTCATCCTCGTGTGCCAGATATGTCGGACAGTCGCAGACCAAGAAGCTTCTGAATCGTTAGTATTGTTTTTTTTTTAGAAATCTTTAAAATCATACTTTAAAACATTTTGTTTGTTTATAATTTTTGCATAATTATCACTCTTATGAATCATAAAAGATATTTTGCTTTCATACAGTTCTATGAAAAATATTTGTTATTACCCACTTAAGTTTTAGTATAATCCAAAGAGGTATTAGTTATTTATTACGATTAACCTCGGAAAATGAGTTTGAATTTTTAAAAAGGAATTATAAAATAATTATTAAAATAAGTAAACGGAAACAAATATTAAATAAGTGACAACATTTATGGAAACATTATTAATGGCAATAAACCATAAACCAATTGTAATTCATGATCAAAAAATATGTTAAGATAGCCAAACTGTACAGATTTTTTAAATTTAGAAATAGAATAAGAGTTTTGGTTTTTATATATTAGCAATTTTGGAGAATTGTGTTTAATCCACTATCATGTTTTCTTTCTTAAAACTAATATTAACAACAATACCAAACCATTAAAATCATAATTAAATAAAACAGAATGCCTTTTAAAACTAGCAGAACATATTAAAAATGTTATAAGAAGAAAATTTAATCGTTGATAATAGATATTTATCATCGATCGTAATATAATCCTTTGTTTCAGGCACAAAAAAGTGATAATTAAAATTCCAGTCCATGAGAAGATAATCAAGCACACCCACACGATTTACAAAATAATCGGAGGTAAAGGTCACGGTGGTCATGGAAAGAAACACCTCGTATACCACAAACACGAACATGGAGGACACGTGGACCATGTGCACAAGCATGCTGGGCAAAGTGAACACGAACACAAGCACCATGGTGATCATGAACACGAGCACAAGCACCACGGAGAAGCGGAACATGAACATAAACATCATGGTGGCCATGACCACGAACATAAACACATAGGTCACTCATACCACGGTCACAAGCACCATGGCCACAGCGAACATGGTCACAAGCATCATGGTGCGTACGACCACGAGCATAAGCACCTCGGATCGGCTGATCACCAACACAAACACCACGGCACAGCCGACCACGATCACAAGCACGGAGGACACCATGGTCATCATCATAAGCACCACGGTTACTATGGACACGGTCACAAGCACCAAGGTGCACATGACCACAAACATCTTCATGGCGGCCAACATGCTCATGAACACGACCACGGCGGACACCACGACCATAGGCACAAGCACACTGGCTACAGTGGCCATGCTCACAAACATGGTGGTGACTTAGGTCATGGGCACCAGCACCACGGTCACGGAGGTCACACTCACAGCCACACAATCCACGACCACGGAGGACATCACGGGATCACGGCCAGGCAAGCGGGTCACTACGATGAGATGGAGAATGGCGAGTACGCTGTCTATTCACAGATCGGACAGGACATGTTCAACGCCTACCTCATTTAGGCCGGCCATTGGATGCGATCAACCAAAGACAACCTCAACAACAACGAATTGTATAGTGTAACAGATTTATTTAAGCTGTATATTGTAATGATTGTACAGAAGCCATTTTTTTATTGTTTTTGTTAATAAAAAAATTGAAAATACGTTTTCTTTTAGAATTCATTTTATCATTCTTTTTTTTAAATTTTAATTTATAAAAATAGAGCCATAATCAGGGGTGCACTCATCCCTTCGTCAGATGACAATTTCTCTCCAGCTTTCAAAAAATTGTATTGTTCTCATTCTTTTTGAACCCACGATCACTTACAAGTTATATATTTATCACAAAACAACAAGTTATATTCAGGGATAAGCGTATAACACAGTATGTTGCGCTTAAGCGTCTCCAGCCAATTTATAGGTGTCAGTATTTTCTTGCGTCCTTCCTATACCAAGTTATCAAAACTCGGCCCCCATACTATGTACTTAAGATCCTGTAATTTAAATCTTTCATCCAAACCCGTCCCATCCGATCTCGTCCTTCTGACTTCTACTTTCTCTGCACAGAACTACTGCGTTTGATAATTTTTTTCCTAACTCTAGCTCCTCACTCTGGAACTCTTTCCATTTTATGTTATATATCTTTTTTTAAATACGTGCTCACTGTTATGAAGGCCATTATGGAGTGTACTTGCAGCTTTGTAATAAACGGACTTTGTCGCAGAAAAATGAAGAATTGGTTTCATTTCATTTCTTTATTAAAAACAATCCAAGCGAAAGTAGAAAAATTGTACATCATATACAATCACACTTGTTGTTTTCTGTTCTATTGTTTTCCTTTGTTTCCCAGTTTGAATGGTCATCCAAATCGAAATCCCACAAAATATGATCCCCTTAGAAAATTCATAATCCCTTCAAAATATCCTCACCTACAAATTAATGTACTCTCTCCTTCTCAAAAGAATTAATGACCCATCTTGTGATATGCAACCGGCTTCTGAGACCGCCTGGAATATAAATATTAGGATAAAATAAAAATCAACTTTCGTGTTGTCTTAATATTCAGCAATAAACATTTTTTTGTTCTGTCGTTTCTAGGTACTTAAAATATATTGTCAATCTCGGAATTATTTCCCTCTATGTCTTTTGCTTATCGAATTAGAGGAAGAGATACATTTTCAAGTGAACATTCTGATTACTCTGTCTTTTAGGACATCAAAGTTTTTTTTTTTTTTGCGTTCAGATAACTTATATTGAATTTTACTATAATCAGGAAATGGAGTGTTCACTTTGTATTGTGATATATCTTTGTAATATTCAAGAAAGATACTATGCGAATCAAAGTCGGTCATCACTCAAATCCTATTTTCAAGGATTCTGAAGTCCATTGTTTCTATTCGAAAAATATCCTAGGTAAGAGATACCCCACAATTGGTCACTTCGTCATGCTCACTTAGCAGCCCAAAAGGTCTGTCCACACGAAAGCAAGACGTATGCTGAAGAAGCGACGAAGATCTGGTGGGTTTCCGGACTCAGTTATTAACAAGCGGAAGAAGTGGATATGGAGGAGGGATATTGTAACGCCAAGACCGGTGTACCGCGAAGGTCGCTATATATGCCCGCGTAGAAAGTTCCAAGAGGATAGTCGCATGATGGACCGTACGAGGGTAAGTATTATAGTATTATAGTATTATAGTATTATAGTATTATAGTATTATAGTAGTAGTATTTTGAACGGTTTTCCAAAATATTGATCTAGAAGTACTTAAGTTGTGTTGATTGCTGGTAAAAGTCACTAAATTACTAAAATGAACATATCTATCTATTTTAACTGAAATAATATTTTATTATTTGTTTATAAAATTCAGTATTTTTAAATATTTAAATGAAAATATTCATAAAGATATAGATATATTCATAAAGGGGTATTAAAAGAAATATTTTATTTATTTATTCACTCATATTCGTAATAAAAATAAAGAATATAGTTTATTATTATCATTTCGTTTATTTTTTTCTATTTCTTTCTGGCGGTCATAGTGTTGCCCAAACTCAGATGAGTCTTGGTCTTGCCCACTCAGTATTGGTCTTGGTCTTGCGCATGTGCCTCGCGAGAATCTTGCAGTTTCCTATTGGCTTAGTACTATTTATTAAACAAGTTACTTTAGATCTTATAAAATAACTACATAATAGGTACATTTAGAGGTTTTATTGACATAAACATAGTAAAGTCCAACGAAATTAATAAAATTAACTTGACAATCCATTAAAGGCACAGGCGGATGGTAAAATATAACTCCCCCAAAATAGTAAAATATAACCAGGTTTTACAGAAAAAAAAATATTAAAAACTATCTCTTAAAGTATTCTTGTTCCTGTAATTGCATTTAATAGGACTTCAGGAACCACTTAAACACCATTTCATATAGGTAGTTAATTTCTTTCTTTTTTTTTTCAAATTATTTATCGTAATATGTATATTAAAAAAAAAAAAAATCCCCCCCCAAAATTAAATCCTGGATCCGCTAGTGATTAAATAAAGATAGTTATCCATCTTAAAATGGAGGACTTGTAGAGTAAAGACAATCTATACAATGTGACCAAAAATTTAAATAACAAATTTGGTAATTTCACTCACATGACTTTCCTAAATTTCAAACATTTTTTATTTCCATTTTAAATATATTCATTAAAAATAACGCAATTGAATTCGACTAATTTTTCACAGATCAAAGAAGTCATAATTTCTTTGATGAACTAAAGCTACGTAAACGGGCAAATGAACAAGTATTAAAATCAGTATAAAAACTCAATACACTGTAATGTAGCTAAAACTGGTCCGATTTAGACGATTTTTTAAAAAAATTTTGTCGGAAATTTAATATTTTTTTTAAAAAATGTATCACTGCATACTAAATAGATATTATTGCCGTTTTTTTCAGAATGAGAAAATCTAACTAAACTTCGAATGAAAAATTGGAAGAGTTAAATGCAAAAGTATATTGGTTCTACCAATTCTTTACATATAGTAACTAAAATTGTTTGTTTTGCTTTCATTTTTATCCAAAAAAAGGCGTTCTTAGCCTTGAAAAGTGCAAGACCAAAACCGATTTTGGACAACATTAGTCAAAGCCTTGAAAAATAAACGGGCATTATTTAAAAAAAAAAAAAACGTAAACACTCTTATGTTTTCCCATTTTTTTTTATGTACATATTTTGAATGTTTCTATCCCTAGCCTATCATTGAATTAAAATATTTCTTAAAGAGATTGTCAATATTTATACATATCTGCAACCGACTGGTAATACTCGATCATTTTGTCAAATAAAATGTTTGGTTAACTTAATTGAAGAAGAAAAAAGTTGTAGTAGGAATCCAATAAAGGATTAGATGGTGATGGGTCATATATACGAATGATAAAATTAGAAACAAATACTTACTTGTACAAACTCATTTGAGGATATATCTCCGTAGGCACAGCTTCAACATATTAATAATGAAATATTTGTATGATTAAAATTTCAATGATTTGGGAGAATTTGTGTTTATATATATATATATATATATATATATATATATATATTATATATATATATATATATATATATATATATATATATATATATATATATAAATAATTTTATGAACTGTATCATCCATTTATATTGATTTTTATCAATCCCATTTAGAAATCGTTTCAAGGATTTTTAATAAATATACAGGGTGTTTCAGGGTTATGTGGCTAAACTGCAAAAATGAACTAAGGACTTCAAAACAAGAAAAATATTTCCTCTGAAGGTATGTCCGCAAACGCTTTGATTAGAAAATATTCCTACCTAAAGATTTTCGTTGTTATGAATTATTTACGTTATATGAAATAAATAAATCCGATTTATTTGTTTTAACTACTTTTTTAATTAAATGCACAACATTAACATTCACATTAAAAGTTGTTCAAAATGATTTCTTTGAGCATTAAGACAAGCTCGGCATCTTTCGTCAACAGCTGGATATGTGTTATTGTTTCGCAAGATCACTTATCCTACTTCGTAAGGAATTAAGGTCTTACAAAGACTTGCATAGACTTTTTGTTTAATGTTACTTCAAACAAAAAAAATCCAGTGGTGTCAGGTCTGGAGAGTGTGCAGGCCAAGCCACTGGTCATGCACGGCCAATCCATTGATTGGGATATGGGATAGTAGTTAGAAGAAATAAATAGGTTTTATTTATTTCATATAACGTACATTATACCTAAACAAAGCGTTTGCGGACATACCTTTAGAGGATTTTTTTCTTGTTTTGAGGTCCTTCATTTATTTTTGGAGATTGGCCACTTAACCCTGAAACATCCAGTATATGGAAGATATATTTCTCAAAATTATTTAAATACTTTTAAGTTCATCCGCAGTAAATACAACAACATTTCAAATACTTTTGAAAAAAGTTGTTTTGTAAAATCTGTATAAGATAAACGTTAAGTGTCTCAAGATATTTTATATTATTATTATTATTAATCAACTATTAATGTAAAATTAAATTTTATTCATCCTCAAAACTACTTCACATCAGACTAATATAAGATTTGATAATATTATATACCCATAGCAAAAAATATTTACAGTCAATTCTCAATAGCAATCAATATTTTAACTATCAAAAACAATTAATCTACATGAATCAATAAAATAAGTAAACTAAAATTGATTAAGGAAATTGGAAAACTCGACAAGATGGTTGAGCTAAGACTTAGAAAAAGGTACGCAAATATTTTACCACGCCCTATTTTACGATTATTGAAATATTAATTTATATTTAAAGATAATAATATGTAGCACCATATCCTAGGACTTTATAATTCATTCATGTGCACCCTTCATTTTCTACAATAAGATTTTATGATATTCCTCGCGGTAAATTTGCAGCATCGCAGAATTGAGAGTTCACCCATCTCACTGAATCAAACCTTTAAATAAAAGTAAAAATATGTAATATAGTCAATTGTTTTGTTAACATATTTTCC